ATTTGCGCACACTTTTTCGAGCATTGCAATCCACAATCAGTTACGCAAAAGAAAGAAGAAAGAAAATGAAACCACTGAGTTTTATGTTACACTAGTAAAGCAACTCGAATCGAACACAACTGAATTTTATATCTACAAGCCTAAAGATGAACGACGTTTTAAAGCTATTTTGAGAAAAACTACAATATCCGCCTGTCAACGCCAAGGATATTTATACAGCTTTGTCGGAAATGGATCATAAAGCTATAAACTTATTTAATATGAAACACAGAGAATCGGAAAAACCAATTCCTCCCTTTATTGTAGAATTTGTGCCTTAAGTTCTAAAGAATTTGATGTATAGTCGTGTCATATTTGAGCCACTTCCTCCTAACTAGGATATTCGCCAGTGTAGTGACTGGCAAGACTATGGCCACACCGAAACTTATTGTGGAAAACATACAAGGTGCATCAAATGTGCTAATACTCATTTTTTATCTCAATGTCGTATACAAGGTAAAAGCACTGAAGTCAAATAAGTTTTATGCAATCCTACAAATTATTAGGGCTGTTCGATCTATAAACAGTTACAAACCGCGAAATTTACAGCCGTAAGACCCAAACCAACATCAACTATGAACAAAGAAACTGATGAAGAAAAAGACACTGCCTATACCTCAAGTGCTCCCAAAAGAAGTTATGCAAGCGCGTTAGTGGATAATCACCTGAATCACTTATTATTCCAAAAATCTCCGTATACAATGGGCAAAGTACTAATAGTTGTAAAGTAAATGTTAGAACAAATTACTACGTAGATGAATATCCCTGTCGCGCTGACAACTGCTTCCATCAACTATTCACTCTGGCGAGCAATCAAAAAAAAAAAGCATCAACGAAATTAATAAAGCACCCGGCTATGACTTAATAACTTTAAAAATCTTAAAGGAATCACCAGATCAAGCAATATTTCTATTCCGAAATATTTTTAATGCTATTGTCACAGAAGATTTTATCCCTCCAATATTTAAAGAGGCTCAAATAATACTATACTTAAACCAGGAAAAACGACTGAAGATGTTGAGTCATATAGATGAATCAGTCTTCTACCCATTATCAATACAAGGAGACTAATTCGGAAATATCAGTTTGATTTTAAAAAAAAGCATTGCATAATTACTGTTTTCTCTTAAACTCTTACATCGATTCTCGACATTTCTTTGTAAAATATCAACAGCCACCATTGATACTGAAATTGGAGCTTTTGCCGATGATACTGTGGTAATTGCTACAGATGAAAATCACCAATTAGCATCCAATAAACTACAGTGAGCGCTAAATTATATTCCTAGTGGCTTAAAACCTGGAGAATAAAAGTAAATGAGTCCAAGTCTTCACAAATAACCAGAGTGAAGGCCCTCCGGAATGCCTTAACGATGTTTTAATCCCCCAATCTACCCAAGCGAAATATTTGGGGATATAGATATACGTTGACACAAAACTGATTTGGAAGCATTATATTTTTACCAAAAGAAAACCACTTGGCATCAGACTGCAGGAACTCTACTGGTCACTGAACAAAAACTCAAAAACGCATTGAACTCTTGGGAACTGCTGTATCTTCAAATATAGAGTTCATCCAACGTTTTCAATTAAAAACCCTTAGAGTAATCTCACATGCTTCTAGGATGTTATAAAAAGCCAAGCCAGAAATCTCAAAAAACGTGAGCAAAATTATTCTAACCATTTTGTTAGTAGTATTATAGCGGAAGGAAAAAAATTCACACGTCTCCGCAAAAAAACGCCATTGGAACTTTAACCTGTGACCGACTTCAACAGACGGATGTGCTACTGAGAACAGTCCATTCAAGCCCACAATAATTGTAAGTATTTAGCCACTTACTCCTTAATATGGTTCATTGTCTATTCTTAAGAGATAGATCGGAGTAAAAGAAAGTTATGTAGTGTGGAACTAATTACTTTTTAATTTCAAAAAAGAGATGATGCGGAACTAATTTAAAAAGTTTGAATTTCATGTATATTTGTACATATATATAATTTTGAAATAAAAAGTAGTAATTTTTGTTTAGTTTTTCTTCGAAAATTGATTTAATGGTATTACAGTGCGTATGAGTAATGTGAAGGACACCTCATAAATTAATTTTTTTAATTACTTCTAAAAGCAATACCACACTGGAAATATTTATTTTTACAGTAGAATTTATTGTTAAATCAGAATTAAAACTAAAAACTAAAAATTTTTGTAACATATTCCTCCTTTTTTTTTACTGAATAATCGTGTGCATGTGTTTAGTGTGATGTGAAGAATAAGTTAATTTTTTAGAAGTACTTCTAAGGACAATATCGTCCTGAAAACTTTGGATTTTATGTAGAATCTCACTACTAATCGAAACCAGATATATTATATAAGAATGTTTGTAGTATATTCTTCGAAAATTTACTCAATATAAATATAATACACATGTGCTTGAGGTGTTTTGCGGGAGAAAAAAAAATTTTAATAAATAATACCATCTTGAAAACTTTTATTTCGTAGTAAAATTCAATAAAATTTAATATAATAAAAAAAATAAAAAATTTTTTTTTTAAATTTAACGTTTAATATTATTATTAATACATTTACAAGCTTAATTGTTTAAACAGTTTCTTGAAAGTTCAATCAATTATTTTTAAAACACAGTAATTTTCAAGTTCCTACCATTTATAGAGCCTATATTTTTCTGTCCAGAAGGCAAAAGATCTTTAGAGAAGAATAATTTATATTAGAATATATATCTACTGCGTTTAGATAACGCACCATGACACCCAATAAGCCGTTTTGCTATTTCTCTAAAAATTCGAAGTGCAATTTTTGTCGAAAGATATCACGGCTTTACTCCAGCCAATGGATCAAGGTGCTATATATACACTTTTAAAACGTCTTATCTACAGAAACTTTTCGAATACTCATACAAGTAACAGATAATTTAAGCTGCCAAAGAAGTTTCTAGAAAGGCCACAACATTAAAGATGCCATGATAAACACAGATCAATCGTGGAAGGAAATGCAAATATTATCTCTTAACAAATTTCGCAAATCTTTATAGTCAGACGTCCTGTGTTTTTTACGTGATTTCCTGCCATCGATGGCTTAACAGCACGGTGCTCTTAACACACGTATCAATTTAAGCGTCAATCAATGCCCCATTGGAATAACCTTCCTTATTCCGCCAGTACCAATGAAGAAATTCATGCAAGTTATAACTTCCACCTTGGTAAGATGCGAGGCCTACCTACTGACCTCTGGTGATCTTTGGGTCACAGCACCCGGTTTGAAACGCACACCACAGCGAATGAATGACAAGCAAAACATTCTTCCCGCATGACTTTGGGTATTACCCACAACCACTTCGAGTCCAACACCAATGGTCAGCACAGCCGAAGCTGTCGGGCCACTGACCACCGAAGTACCAGATAGTATCATCTCTGGTCAAATGTCGCAAGTTGTCCCCCACAACTCACTACCATTTACACTTCTTGCATAAGTGTCAGACTGGCACTGGGGGATGTTAGTCGCCTCTTACGACAGGCCATCCTAACCGCGGGAGAATTCTTTTCCCCTCTCCGCAGGGAAACGTCGTCAGAATATAAATGATGATGTGGTAAAAATGGCAGTTGAGGCTGATTCTGCTGATTACATTACAGATAATGTCAGCCAACTATTAAGATGTGATAGAGAACAACTTAAGAATGAGAAACTGCTGAAGCTAGATGGTCTAGAGGACTTAAATGAGGAAAAGGCTGCCATATCAGATAATAGTGTTATATTAAAATCTCAAATTCTGAAGAAGTGTTTAAAATTGCAAATTCATTTCCCTAGCAAAGCTCAGACGTTTCGAAAAAAGTTAATGAAGATATGTAAACATATGTAAAAGATCTAAAAGAGCAACAAAAAGAAAAGCAAACCGCTTACATTATATTTGTTTCTTAAGCAATCATGAAGATCTTAAAAATATATATATATCCGTAGATAAATATATATCAGATTTAGTGATGAAATATATTTTTTTCTTTGTGGAGTAATTATATACAAGTTTTCTTTCTTTTGGACCCAGTTTAATTGTTTTCTATACATTTATATGAAAGTACTTGTTTCGTTTCATTTAACGGCATTTACGACATCGTTGTACGGTCAACTTTTTTGGAAGGACTAAAAGCCTCTAACCGAGGTATGGGAGTATATATATATATATATGAGAAGGCGCGTGCTGACAGTTCTCAGCATTTCCACTCGGAGGCATGTATTGCCCATTGTGATGTCTTCAAATATATATATATATATATATATATATATATATATATGTATATATATAAATAAAATAAATGAATTCAACTCTGCAATAATAGTTTTCATAATAATAGTTTAATATAATTTTTCTTTGTATATTTTGAAACGATTATTTGATTCATTTGTTATTGTTTTATTATTTCTGTTGTTTGATAATTTGTGAACTTGATTGATTTATTATTTGACTCAATTATTATTGGAAGGGCAATATAATTAAAAAGTAGTAAGAATTCAGTACCCATATTCGGCGTATACTCTACTCGGTTTTTATAATATTGTGATATGAAGAAGGATCAATTCTTTTTAGTATTCAGTACGCTTCATCAATACAAAACACTTGGAATTGACTATTGATAAGTAAAGTCTAAATTTACATCTAAAACAATTTATTTTATTCTTTATTTTTTTATTTAGTATTTTTTTTCAATAGATTATGTATGCTGTGAGTGTGGTCATTGGCCGAATATATTTGCATGATTTTGTTTAGAGATAATTGAGTATATTTTAACTATGGAGTCATAATCCTTAATTTTTAAAATATCAAATAACACTAAAAAATATGAGTTTTTAGTTTCGGAGAAGGAGTTCGGATTTCTATGTAATATTGTGTATTTGTAAAAATGAGATTTAAACGTTTTCAAAAACTCTTTTCCAATATTCGGCATTTGACACTCACCTGTACATCCTTTGAGAACATATTATTTGTATGTAGGACGACCGCACTAAAATTGCGCACTGTGTCGAACTCAAATGTTATTTCAACAGGACGGCCTAACAGATTGGGCGTATCGTTTCTCCAACCAACCCATTCATATCCTGTAAAAGTTTGTAAATTTATATTAAAAATCTCAGTAGATATTAAAAAAAGTGTAACTGAATGGTAATAAATTAATAAATTCCTGTGAATGTGATATAAACATAATAAGTACCGAAAAAAGAATAGTAATTTTCTAAAGTTAAGTCTTTGATTTGCTTTTTTCTCTGTTAAAAACTTCTTCGTTCACAAGCATTCGGTTTCTTATGTCTGTAATAACTACAATAATGTTAAGCTAATATGACACTATTTGAACTACTGCTGGACTCTATGTAATTTCGAGACTATTGAATTTTGTACGACGACACAAAGTGCTAACAAGTGGATTCCAGCTAAACCTATTAACAATTGTATAAAAATCGATATATAAGCATAGGAGAAAAATAACTCTTGAGGTACTTATGTGGTTATTGAAATTAATTTGAAAAACTGATTTGATTTTGATAACGATTCATTCATTAGATATTTATAATTATTTTTTCTTAACATTATGACTAATGAACTATGTATTAGTTATGAATTGTATAATATCAGTGATATCCACCACATTCCTTAACAAAATTAGTTTTTTGGACCTTCAAATAGTGTAAAATTTTTAGTAAAGTTTTGAATAATGTTTATCTTTGCTTTCCGCTTACTTACCCTTACCAAAGCCATGTATATCCGTACGAAAATTATCCCGACCCCTTTGTCCATCAACCAACTGCCCCATTCCGTCAATATAACGATCGCCTTCCTCATGACCGTCGTACGTTTTATCAGACAAATCAATTTCCATGCCGCGCTGAACACCCTTCGGTATACCATAGGACGTAATGCCTTCTGTGAAAGTACAAAAGAGCAGAAACCACATTACTGATATTTTTAATCAAGAAGTTTTTTGAATATTGACGTAGGAATATTAACACAAATTAATTATATTGAAAAGAAAATCAGAAAATGAACAGCAGTAAAGGAAGCAGAAAAATTGTCAGGTACTTAAAAACAGAAAAAAAACGCCAGCGAATGAAAAGCGAGTAACAGAAGACGTGAAGTGAAAATTATCGGTACAGATTTACATTTTTCCATGGAAACGTATGCTTGAATGGTTTCAGTACGTTCCACTGGCCGCTGCATCACTATCCCAATCTTTGCTTGGCTACTGTATTCATAAATTAATCACTCTCCAGCATGGAACAAATAAGTGTTGGCAGCGCAACAAGCGGGGCAGACGACAATCAGCTCAAAAAATATCTGGATTCGCGGTGTCACAGCAGCCGAAATACTCGTATTTGTGTAGTTGTAATTTGGACGAGGCTACGTGTCGCATAACCTTTAGCAGATATTCCACTGTGAATGCAAGCGCAACTCCAATAAATGCATTTTTGCATCTATTGGTTTAGTTTGGTGCGGACATGTATTTGAACAAAATGGGCCACCTGCAATGGTGGCAAGTACCTCTTAAACACTGCAAGTTTCTCGAAGTGTAATTGTGGAGTAAACACTAACGTTACTACTATCGCCAACCTTAACTTACGCCGATGTGGAAAATTGGAAAATCATAATTTTACGTGAAATCTGAATCAATTATAAATGAAGCATTTCCGGTCTCAGTCTATATACTTTTGAGACTGACTTAAAATGTTTCATTTGCCGTTTAGTTTCAAAAAGAGGTGCGTGAACCAAATAGCGCAAAAGCCGGCTTTGGGTATTTAAGATGCCAGCCACTTTATTATGAATTCAGCATAGGAAGCCGCGCTCAAATTTTTGATAGTAATTGGTCAATAATTTTATATGAACCAGAATTGAATCAACTAAGCCAACTAAGACACATTACTCATGTGCACGGGCGTTGCCGGAACTTAAATTATGAGTTTGTTATTACTAAAATTAATCAATTCCAGTTTGAAAATTAAATATATCAAGTAAAAAAGATTGCTTTATTTTGATAATGGTTCCCCAATTATTTGACACGATGAAATCTCAAAAAGATGCTCGTGTCGATTGGCGCATAGAAATGCTCAAGAAGTACAATGGCGGTGCTTCAAAAGAAGTATACGAGTATAAGATTGTAACAGGGGACGAATTATGAATATATATGTATGAACCGGAACGCATATATAGAACAGCAGTCGACTATATGGGTGTTTCAAGATAAACTAAATCCAGCAAAAGTTGTTCGCGCTCGATGCACTTCGAAAAAAATGGTCGCTTTGTTTGATATTTTTACTATCAGGTCGTCGTGCCAGACCTTATCAAATGCCTTGGTGATGTCAGAAGTAAGCATATCCGTTGATTCTCTTCTGCTCAGTGCTGACTGTATCATCTAGTCGTTCGCACCAGTCGCAATTCTATGGAGACGTCTTCCTTAATTGCTCGTCAGCGAGTTCAACGAAGCTTTAAGTTTGTCTAGAATCACTCTTTCAGTCAACTTACCCAGAACTGACAGTAAGTTAATGATGCGTCAGTTCTGCGGAAACTTGAATGGCATGCCAGTGGAAGTAGTGTTGAAGTAGTTGTTGAGTTTTCTATTTTTGATAGCAGAGCTTTTATCCAAAGCCACCTTAATTTGATATGTAAGGTTGTGAATACACTTCCCCAGTTCCACTAAGGTTTCGAGTTGGTTCAACACACCTCCAATATTTACCAGATTCTTAAAAGCGGCCCAATCCGTGGTAGTGAATGTGGGAGTTAATTTTTATGAGCCAGTTTTCTTAAATGAATTTTACTGACTTATGGTCCGAGTCCAGGTCATCTAAGACTCCAATAAGCACAATAAAGTCAAGGTTATTAGACATGCCAAGGTCTATAATGTGGCCGACTCCTCTACCATAGTGTATTGGTTCGTTAGGCACATATAGCTGCAGTAAGTGGTTAATGGCAAATTGGGCGATCACCCTGCCAGAGACATCGAATTGTTATTGAAGTTCGCTTCAAGGTCTCCAAGGTAGGCTTATATATTCGGTGGCCCATATATTAAGGCAAAGTTTATGTTACCCACCAGACTATCCACCACCACTGGTTGCTTCAAGTGCTAGGAGGTTGTTAGATATGGTGTGATGCTTAAAAGGTTTCTTGATAAGTATAGTCGTTCCCCCACCTCTTCTGGACAATTTGTCTGTTATGTAGATGTCGTAGTTGGGAATTTTCAATTGCAGAAATTTTTTTTTTTTAATTTTTTTATTTATTGAATCGCTTTTAATTAAAGCCAAACAATAACTTTTAGAGCTTGTCTAAAAACTAAATAAGCCCTGTCTAAAAAGTTTTTAGACAGGGTTTATTTATCGAATTCACATGGTTTTCAAGACTTGAAATATGTTTCCGCCTTATTCTCTCGAATTTGGCTTTAACCATCGAAACTCTCAAATCGAAATGTATGTTTTTATTTCTAATATACCAGGGTGCACCAGTTATCATTCTTAAGATCTTTGTTTGAGCTCTTGGAGGATTTCTACATTTGACGAATAGGCATCGCCATATAGCTGTAAGTCTTATATCCAGATTGGCTTAATTACTTGGTTGTATAACAAGATTTTGTACTCTAAATATAAGGGAGACTGATGTCCGATTAGCCAGCGAAGGTTTATAGCTTTAGGCTTTATTTTAGTCCTTTTTGTTTCAACATGTTTCGCCAAGTTAAGCGTTTTTCAAGCTGAATACTAAGCTACGTCACTGTTTCCGTTTGTAGAACTACTATTCCGTTGAGAGTGATAATTGGTGAGGAAGATCTGTTAAAAGAGAATGTTATACGACGGCATTTTTTCACATTGACTTTAGTTCACCATAGCGATAACCATCTTTCTATTAAGCACAAATGATTTTGCAGTTGACTGCAAACGATTGTGGTACTTTTATGTTGGTACAAAATAGCTGTATCGTCAGCAAATGATGATATTGCTAAAGTGGTATTTGTGAGATATCTGAAGTAAAGATGAGGTACAAGAATGGACCAAGAACGCTGCCTTGTGGAACTCCTGCACCTATTGGAAAGTCATTAGTTGTGTGCATATTATACTTTACATTAAAAGATCTGTCTATCAAGTATGATTGAAGTACTGCGTGTGAGGTTTGCAGGAGTATTTGTCATATTTTGTGAATCAGGCCCTCGTGCCATACCTTTTCGAACGCTTGTGCAACACCTAAAAAGACACCAGAGCAATATTCTCGATTTTCAAACGCGCTTTTTATTTCATTAGTTATTCTGTTCACTTGTTCTATAGTACTTGTTCGATAGTAGTTGTAGAAATGGCTTCAGAAATGTTTTTTGGATCAACATGATGTCTATATCCATATCATGTAGAAATTGGATGACTTCGTGTTTCTTGTTAAAAATAGAGTTTGCATTTCATTCCTTAATCTCATACAAGCACCTAATTAGATTACGGTGGTCATCAATAGTAGCTAAAGTTATCTGAATACCTAGGCACATCTTCTTAGCCTCACTAAACTTCAGGTTTCTTGGTTGAAATTGTTTAACCAACGAGCTCCTGGTATCCAAGTATCCGAGGCATCCGATGGAGCACTATGCGGACAGCTTTGCATAATTTCTTGTCGGAGGTAGCGCCATTTTGTGCAAATTGCTCATGATTGCCATTGCATGTACTGGCAGCGCACTAGCACTTGACTTTGGAAGCTTGTTAATGGCCTTACCTTCTTGAGCAGCTACTACCTGAGGGCGTTGCGGAACGATTGTCGTATTTATTACAGTTTTCCCATCATGGGTAGAAGGAACCTTCACATGTTCTGACGCCGCTGCACGTAGTGCAGTTTTGGAGAATTTTTTCTTGAGAGTCTTAGACGACTTGATTTTTCAAATACGTTCATTTGTGATTAAACAATTTAGGCAATTATTTTCAATTCAATACATAATTTGGTACATACTGGGAAACGAACCACTATCAGGCAGAGAGCAGAGTGTTTGGTGTGGCCAGACATGACTAAAGACTTTAAACTATGTCTTCCGATCAGCAATCTCTAACTTTGACATGCCAAGCAAGCAGTTTACTTCAATCCACATTGACCTCATTGGTCCTCTAACAGACAGTTTGATAGTTTGAATCAACACAATTCATCAAACTGGCGAACTCATTGGTACCAAGCATGTAGAACTAGTCTACGTTATTCCGTCAAATGGCTTGATTGAACGGTTTCACTCAATTTTGAATACTGCAATGAAATGAAAGTACGAACAACAGTGGTCTGATGAAATTCCTTTGATTGCTATAGCACTTCAAAAGAGCTATAGCCAACACTACGTTTACCAATCGATATTTTGGAGTAAATTAAGAATTACAAAATATTTGAACATGAATTTGTAGAAAGAATTGCACAGATGATGTTCCAGATATGATCGGTTCCCACATCAAACCAGTCAAAAGAAATGGTACGATTTTTGGAGGTACGATTGTGTTTGTCCACCGTACGATGGACCATTAAGGATAGTAAGTCGGACAGAAAAAACGTACAACCTGCTTACCAAAAGGAAATTCAGTTTTGTTTCGCTGAAAAAGAACACCTCATCATTCAAAGCAAATGACGAGAACATTAATAATCAAAAAATATTTAATAGAATAAAAATAATAAAAACACTATATTACAGAAATTGGAAATATATAATGTAATAGATAATAGAAGTAGGGTAGGCAAACAATAAAAAACATAAAGAATAAGAGATGCACTTATAAACACAAAATATAGTATTAGTTATAAAAAATAATGGTATGAAGGATTTCGAAACGAAGGTCATAAAATTAGACTGCTGGCATGAAAATTGAAGAGAGCAAAAATATGAGAGATAATATTTTAGCAAATTAAAAACTGGGAACACAATTATAGCTTTGTAGGTATGATTGCGTTAAAGAGCACTAGAAAGTACTCAAAGTCGAAAGGGAATAATTTGGAAATCAGCATGGAAAAGATTATAAGGAATTAGAAAGGGTAATTCCATATTTGAAAATAAAAAAAATTTGTACACACCAGGATCTTTTCAAGCACGTTATCAATTGTGATGTCTTTATTTTGTTCAAGTCACTTACGGTAAAATGTAGAAGTAACAGAGTTGGTATATATAGTAGGCGTCAAGTTTTTAGAGTTAACACAAGTCTACAAGATGCTAGGCTCTATTACAGTTTTGAGTGCAAAAGATAATTAAAAATATATTACCTTATACAGAAAAAAGAAACTGCAGATCAGTTTTTTAAAGGAGCTGAATTTCAGGAAGATGTTAATAATCCATAATAATTAGAGATCTAAACGGTAGAATACGTAAAGAACAAAGTATATATACGAAATCAAAATATCATCTATCAGGAGTATCTAAAAGACATTCTAAAGGTGATTAACCGATCATCGATATGGATAGAGGGAAATGGCAATCAATAGACTGCAGTTTCTGAGTACTGAATGGAATAATAACTAGCGACTTAAAAGGTAAGAAACTTTCGTAGATCCTGTGGGACATATGCTCAGTCACTTTATTTTAAACATGATCATCGTTAAACATTTGATGTCTCGATTCGATTGTTTAGTACAGCACGATAGCTGTATGCCATACATACGAATAGGTTTCTCAACATTTGTACTTGAATTAGGCAGATTTCTGTTTGGCATCGTGTTTCCAATTCAGTCTATTACTATCAAGATGTAATTAAAGGTATTCTGCTGACTTTGCCTGCGGAACTTTAAACAGATTTAGTCAGATTTCTGTATGACATCGTGTTTTCAATTTAGTCTATTATCAAGATGTAGCCCAAAGCATTCTGCTGACTTTGCCTGCCATTTAGATATGTATACAAATTGTTGCTTGTACGTCACAGTATAAATGTCACATCGAAAATCCTCCGGCAAATAATCAGTACCCCCTGGGGCGAATACGAATATTTATAGAGATCTTTGAATTAACGCAATCACAGATGTAATTGTCAGCAACACACAAAAGTGCGCAATCAAACTCAGGAATCACCTGAACCCATTTGCATGCACTAAAAGCCAGCGATTTAAAAGGAACAATATAAACCTGGCAATTGAAAAATAACGCCCGATATGGAAAAGAAATTGGTTGCAGTGAAACTGCACTTCGGAGCGGCTTTTAGCTGGCTTATTGTTATAAAATTGAGCCCATAACTCCATTTGTTTGTTGTGGTCTGTAAGTAAGGTGCTGTTATCATCTTTCAGAGGTCTAAATTTCTGAGTGTTATTTCTGGTGAGCTTCCTTGTGACTTTGTATAGTTCGCTACTTCTGCGATGATCAGCAGCGGTTTGAGCTTCCTTGGCTAAAGCTTGAACAATGGAAAGACTTTTCTTTACTAAAAAAGAAAACCAAAAAAATTTTACATACACCTGGTACTTAAGTTGATATATTAATATTTTTTTAAATATTTTCTGATCATGTTAGGACAGTGTACTTCTGATTTAAAGAGTTACTTTATTTTTCTTTTTATGTCAAAATAGCTCAGATTTTTCTTATTTTGAAAAATAAATTTTCAAACCACAAATGTGGTTTTCACATACGCATGGACACTATGGCAGTATTCGTAAATATCTTAAGCGCCCAGTGCAAATCCGGATTCATTTTTTACAGCTGAAACACGCAACAACAGGCAAAAAACTTAATCCAGAAATGCGCAAAAAAACAATGGAGCAGAAAAGAATGAATTAGTAAATAAAATTTGTAGGAAAAAGAGTCATCAATTGGCTTAAATGAAATCGAAATGCCAAAAGCTGTTTGGTTCGGCGTTGCTGGTGGAACTGGAGGTGGAGGTGGAGATATTGGTAAAGTGCCGAGAGTCACTTTTCGCCACTTCCCGCTATGCCATACCACACCATAACACCATAACATCAAGCCCTATACATTGGAAACATCAGGGAAAACAGTTCGAAACAAAGCGCTCCAAACTGCGCCAAACTGCGCCAATCCACACCAATCCACACCAATCGACACTACGCCACAAATGCCTGTCGCGCTGCTGCGTGCCCACAAATATGCCAATAAATCTGTGAACGGCGAGATATTAAAGTGTTGCATGTTGCACGCTTCGATAAATCGAGAACCGAAAAAAAAAATTTTTTTTGAGAAAAAAATTGTGCCACGTTACAATAAGACAACAACAAATTTAAAACAAATTAAACCATGGTGAAAAAAAAACATCTGTATCTGCTAACCGAAAGCGAAGATACAACAGTGCAGATACAACAAATAAATGAATTGTTTTAAATAAACACGAGGTACGGCAGTAAATGCAGCATAAACCAAAGCAGCAACCAAGGGACAGCAGAGCGCATACTACCAGCGGAGATACAAATACCAAGTGATGAACAAAATCCACAGAATTTGTTCAGCGTAAAATAAATGAAAACCATAAACCAAAACAAAAATAATATAAATCCACTAAATACTAAGAAAATCTGCTGGATATGCACGCACCTTCCCATGGACAACCAACGACCTCGGCGCGCAAGCAGACGGTGCGATCGTATTGACTGTAAGGATAGATGCGCACCTTCGATGCAAAGACGATCGGCTGCAGTGAGTTCTCCACTTCGCTGTATGTATTTATATTGCCAGGCAGTATCTGTAAGATAAAAAGATATAAATGAGCATGAGTTTATGGCTGTAAAATAAAACAGAAAACAGAAATAAAATGCAACTCCAACTGAAGCTGAATTTTAGGTGTGGGAGAGAAAGGCGTATGCGACGTGAATTAAAGGAAATAAGAAAGGAAGAACAACTTATGAATTCTATTTGGTTGGTTTGATGAATGGATGGACAGACGGGAGGATGGTGGAATGCTTAGTACACATTCTGTACATTTGTTAGTTCGGCGTAGAAGCAAAAAAAAAAAAAACAAAATAAATTAAATTAATTGATGTTTTAAAGTTGAATTTTCACTGCACAGAAGAGTTTGGTTTAATAAATATTTGTGTCTTTTCTATTGATTTTTAAAAAAAAAATGGTTGGCGTGCACAACAAAATTGCCAACATAAATCTTACAAAAAAATATAACAACCAACAACAATATCATAAATTTATAACTGAATACCTGTGGAAAATCGCACACAAATTCAAAACAGAGGAATAGGTTTTCCAACGAACGAGCAGGAGCATCTAAGCGCTTGAGAGGAGAACGGCAATGCATCACCTACGCAATTTTTAACTCGTTTTGCACGTAAATCGCTGGAAGCAGGCAAATTTCGATTTCATATAAAAACTTGGAAAAACGATAGTTTCACTTACAAGTTGCTCATATCTATCGATAAGATTGTTATCGCTGTGATTAATGTGTGAACACCACCAGAGATACGGACCAACATATAAATTTGTCATATGGAGCTAAAGCAATAATGTTTTGCAGTCATCCTTTGCAATACAAATGTTTCAGATAGGCGGTCTTCTACGCCCATCTATTCAATGGGTGTTTCTAACCATACTACATATAATTATATTTATCGATGAACACAAATACTTTACAAAGGCAAAGAAGACAAAGACAAAGAATTTTGATTATTTGAAATACTTATACGAATATGTGTCTTTATGGCACACATTAGGTGACGATATTTTACGCAGGTATCTTTCGATGTAACATACTAGCAATAGTTTCTCATATAAACAATGATAAAATAACTTCAAACAATTTAGTAAACGGATATATGAGTAAAAAGATCTTAATTATCTGTATTTTCATCAATAATTCAAATGCCGAGTAGGATACTAACTACGTACTAAGTACATAGTTTACTTCTTTACTTCTCACGCGAACAAACACATTCTAGTAAATTTTGTCAAATGAAACTTATTGTTAATGTGATTGAGTATGGAATGTATTCAGATGTAGATGGAAATCAAACAGCTATACATTAACACCCTATAAACTAAGTAAATATGTTGTTAAAATCTCTATGTAGCGGCCATATACATATTCATTATGTATATTATGTATATGGCCGCTACATAGGGATTTTAACAACATATTTACTATGTAGTTGAAAATCCTTTTTTTTGTATATATAGGGTATATAGAGGATAGGGTATATATATGGCCGCTACACTACATATCTATATATATATACAAGGCATGCCTTGTCGTAAAAGGCGACTAAAATCCCTGAGAAGCTTGTGGGATGAGCCAAGATGCTGACTCTAAATAAGTGTCTACTATCCCGTAATGGCAACGAGGGACATCCAAGTATGCAGAGAGTGGTTCAACAGATCAAGAGTTGCAGGCGTACTAGAGAGAGAAGAGGAAGTTGTAACAACGATGCAGAATGCGTCCCAAGACAAGCAATGCATAATAATTATGATTTTAGGGTTCAAACACCAATCAGAGTCGAGCTTATTAAGATCCTGATTATGGTATACTTGAAGCAAACTACTATGAAGCAAACCACGATTTTGATTCCCATTGCTTACCTGAATCACTACACTGCTGTACAGGACATATTACAGCAAACGGTGGTGAAACAGAACTTCGAACTTGCAATAATAAGTGAGAAATATCGGAATCGAAAAGAAATTGAATGGATTTCTGACACAACTCGCAAAGCTGCAATGCTATGCACTCCTTAGTTTGGAGCTAAGAGAATTCGAAGCCATGATTTCAGAAATTGCAACAGAATTTTTTAACAAAACCTCTGCAATGGTTGCAGACGACTGTACGTATGGAACATTGCATGGGCTAGAAAAAGAACAAATCAAAGAGAAATCATCCTAAAAAAACCTTGCTACGGTAGATCTCGTATTACTGAACAATGGAGAACATACCTTTGAAGCAAGTAACAGAAGATGAGCAGTAGATTTGACCTTCGTACATAACTATTAGTCTGTGATATCACATGGAAGGTAGGTGATTTTAACGCGAATAGCGATCATCGATATATTGTTATAAAGATGGGGAACAGGAGAAAAAAGCATGTAAAACGGCGCAAACTAAGCGCTGAAAATGGCTTAAGTTCAGTGAAAGATGGCAAAATCTCAGAAAGCACCGCTGCAGATAAGCGACTGTCATTACAAGGTGCTTAGCAAAGGCATGCGACGCATCGATGTCAAAAGAGTTGCCATAAGTTGTGAAATAACATCCCGACCCTATATGAAACGTCTTGGAGTACTAAAAGGCACTAGTTTATCTTTCAAATATCATCTTAATATGGGGATGAGGGAACACGTGTAAAAGCCTCATTGTCACGCATTATGACAAATATTGGTGGTCCACGAGCAAGTAGACGGAAATTAATGGCAAATGCTTCTTTTAAAATATATGCAGTATCAGTTTGTGCTGATGCCACACATAAGAAAAGTTACCTGTCTGGCATTAAATCAATGTATCGCCTCTGTGCATTGATAGTCTTCAATGCCTTCCACGCAGTCTCAAAAAAGACAATATCAGTAATAACGGAAGTGCGACCAATAGATATATTGGCACAGGAAGTAGAGCCCATGCACATACTAAGTAGTAGTGACAACGACAAAAACATGAGGATGATGCCAATTGCTTAATATGTCTAGACGAAGTAGAGGATACTGAACAGGATACCGATTTAATAACGAACGACAAAGCATACAGACTGTAATTGAAGAAACCCCCACAGTGGGAAATCTCATCAGACAAATGTGCTGTTCGACCCAAAAATGATAGACAGTAAAAACGGTGACAATGAGCATAGTAGTGCATAGTAGCATTGCGACGTAGTGAACGCATAAGAGCAGCAGAAATAGCGAACTTATATAGCGCAAACAAGGTAAGACGAACTGACACGAACAGAGACAACCAACTGGCGACGTAAGTAGAAAGGCTTAGGAGGCCTCCAGACGAAATTCTTCACGGTAGTGCTAGGTGGAGCTTTCCATCCGGACGAAGACAGTTCTTTGTGTGGTTAAAGTCCCCCAATGACTAGACTTTCGAGTTTTCCTTAAATTAATCAACAATAACACAAAAAAAAACATATATATATATACATATAGATATATATATGTATTTATATATATATATTTATATATATATATTTATATATATATATATTATATATATATATATACATATAGATATATATATGTATTTTAATATAATATTTATTATATATATATATTTATATATATATATATATATATATATATATATATAAATATATATATATATATTTTCTGATTTGAGATGCAGGTTTTGACAATATTTTGTTTTCTTATATAAGTGTAATAATGCAGTGTTTTAAAATGAATTACCTCTTTTCCTTGTATACTCTTCCAGCGTATCCATTTATCAAAGCCCGGCCGCCAATATTCCAGCACATATGTTTCTGTATATTCCTGTCCTTGACCTTTGCCGAATCGCCCCTGAGTTCTTATAGCCGTTATGACATGAATCTGCAGTAGGTCAATTTGTAAATACTCGTTTAAGCCACGTGATACCATGTGCTTAGGACACCAGGCCCCGCCATTGTTATCCACTTTTAATCTGCAGTTTCAAAATAAAATTAAGATTAGTATTTAGTCTATTTTTAAAGTTTTTACAATTAAAATTTTAAAGAGCTGCCATCAGTTTTAAACAGATTATTGGAAGATATGTGGCGGTAGTAAAATCCATGCAATCTAGGTACACAGTCAAAAAGTTTTTCAAAACTTAAGGTAAGATCCCACTAGCCCATATCACCCCTGAACTCAGTAAGCAGACTATGTGAAATCTTCATACAATACAAAATGAAGCCATTTATTTTTGAAACAAAACGTCGACTATGGATTCTTTGTACTACCTTCAGAACGACGTTTGTGTTGGCTTCCGAATTATTTTGATTAATAATTGAAGTATATAGAAAAAATTTCAATTGGACAGTGAAATATATTTATCGGGTGGAAATAATTATTAAAATACAAAACAAACTTTGTACATTGAGTACAAAGTCAAAGAAGTTAACTTTAACTCAAATTGTGTCAGATTAACTAAAGGAGCCAATTTTACATGGGATCTGCAGATGGTTAATAGAAATAATAATGACGCAAATAACACTAGTTTACAAATAATTAAAAGTTTTGTTTTCCAAAGACGAGACTTATATTTCCTATAGGGAAATTTTCCGTAGAACTCAAAAAACACAACGATTTTTTTTTCCTGTGTTCCGTTTTCGAGTTATTTGCAAAAAACCGTTATTTTGACTTTTCTCAAAACATCACCCTACATATGGCCTACATATGACCCTACATAATATTAATTTTTAATTTTTGTACAATTATATATAATTCTGTTTTGATTTGCACTTTAAGTTTAAAAAAATAAATTCGAAAAAATGATTTTTCTGATTTGTTAAAAAAAACCACTATTTGGGGCAAATTTGGAAAATGGCGAATAACTTCTGAAATTTTTATTCGATTTTTATGTTAAGCCACTTGAAATGTTTGTACGGAAACAGTCTTTAACATCATTAAAAAAAAGAATTTTTTTAAAATATTTTTGTGGGAATCCCATCACATTGAAAATCGAAAAAGTTGAAAAAAGCGTAAAAAAAACATTTTTAATCTGTACACTTTCAGCTATAGCAGCGAAACTAAATAAGTTACATTAATGTTATGTAGCTTAAAATGTTTGTACAAGTCTCATCTTTAATTTGATATATCACGCGCTACTATGGTGACTTCACAAATAAAGTTACGAGGCCATATGTAGGGTGATGTTTTAAGAAAAGTCAAAATAACGGTTTTTTGCAAATAACTCGAAAACGGTACACAGAAAAAAAAAATCGTTGTGTTTTTTGAGTTCTACGGAAAATTTCCCTATAGGAAATATAAGTCTCGTCTTTGGAAATTTTTGGCTGTAAACTAGTGTGATCTGAGATAACTTTTGCACAACACACATATTTTGTGTTGGGCTCACCTTCTGTTTCTCTGCAAAAGTCACTCACACTGGGTGTAGCGTACAAAACTGAGAGCCGAACAAAAATTCAAATTATTCATTAGTGATTTCAAGTGAAATATAAATGATAATGTGGAGGATAATTGATTTAAATTTATATTCATATTTAAAAAGCTATAGAAATGCGCGCTTTGTCAGTTCGGCAGGAAAAAATCGGACACACCAAATGGCTGTGTGTCAGTCTTTGTTCGAAATTCATTCATGGACGTACAGATTGCATATGTTTTCGTCGTAAAAAATATTGCGATATAAATTGCGTAAATATATTAATTCTGAAAACGCCATGAGAATATTGTTTTATTTCAAAAATCAATGGAGCAAATAAATATGTCACGAAAAACTCATAATAATCTGATAGGATTTAGTTTTTAAGTGAAATTTTATATAATTAAAAAAAAAAAATTTGTGTATACAGGTGAAAGGATTATTATCAAACAAATAATAAAAAGACTGGAAGGTATTCATAGTATAAAGTTTTTATAATCATAGAGTTCCAATTATCAGTTTTATGAAATGATAGATGGGAAAATATGAAGTTAAGCAGTTCCAGGAATCACCTTCAATACGTAAAAAAAATTTTTTGGTTATAATTGTAAACAACAACTAACCATCACCTTCTTCAATGTAGATTCAGGCTTTAAGTCAGTTTGAAAAACACTAGTTTTGTTTGACCTGAACCGTATTTCAGTACATGATTGGTTTTTTATTATCTATGTTTATTTGCTTTAAAAATGGCGCAACATCAAAAATTATTGCGTTCAACTAGTTATAAATTATTGTATTAATTGCTTTTATTACTAATTTCAACTAATTAGTAGTCCTGCAATCATACTGGGAGTTATGTCGGAAATATAGAATATTGACCATTTTAGTGATTCATAACATCACTATCTGTGGTAGCTGTAATCATAGTTTGCGGCCAATCTAGAACCAACTAAATCGCCTTAAAGAAGCACCTCATATACTTCTTTTTTAACAAAAAAATCCATGTAAAAACTATTTTTATTACAATTTCACTTTATTAGAAGTGCTGTCATGTAGAGTCGTTCCACAAAGGACTTCACTCAGTTTATGTTCACACAAAATGGTAGAACTTGTACATTTTAATGACAAAATGTGTCACTTTATTTATCAAATACAAGTAAAGCCATAAAGAAACAGAAAGGATTTCAATTTTTGCTTCATTTCCCTTTCATCTGCGATGTTAAAAAGCTTATTTTATTATAACTCATTTGGTGCCACGGAGCGTGGACTTTCCGTCTTTTTATTATTTTATTTATTGTATTTTTGTTCCATTCACTTTACTCAGAGTCCTTTGTTTTTATTGTATGTTTTTGCCATATCGTGTTTTTATTATTTGCAACGCTTTTTACACTTCACATCCTGCCATGACCTACATTACACTTGCGTACTCGTATGTGTAAATTCTTAAATGTGTTTTCCCATCGCCATTTTCTTTTAATAATTTTTCCTCGCTTTTTATTTTTTTAACCGCCACTGCTGTTTCTGTTTGCTTTAAATGTGGTTAAAAATACTGGCAGCTCTGGCTGGAGCAGCAACCTTTCTCTTAACCAATTCGCACAATCACTCGTTCGCTCGCTGGGCCACTAGCTGAATGGCTGACTGGTGGAGTACCGGTGAAGCATGTGGTGCGGTGCGGTGCGGTGTGGTGCGGTGTGGTGTGGTGTGGTGTGGTGGCACTAATATATGAGTAAACAAAAATTTTATACATTAATATCAATTTTGATATCATAAATCCAATGTAACTGACAGTGGAATGTGACTTTTACTTCTTATTGGCTGCGAAATATAGGTCGCAGGGGGTTATGCCGAAGGGAGGGAAGGGAGACGTACGAGAACAACTTCGAAAACCGCATTAAAATCAACAAAGCAAATGAACGGAAAATAAAAGTCAAAAAATAAAAACACAAAGTCGTGTCGCTCTCAAGTGCGACACATCAGTCTTGAATATTTTATTTAAATTAATTTCAATACAAACCGTGTTTTGCATTGATACGGAGGTGCTCATAAAAGGATTAGACGCTACGTTAGTTTTAGGCACACGTATTCTACAGATTGCTATAAATCTTCATTCAACTGCACATTTCTTTTGTGTGTGAATACCATTTCCTTAATGATAATTAAAAAAGTGCGTCTGTGACATTCGAAGAACAACTAAGACATGATCTCGACTTGAAGGTGTGTTCATGTCCACAGGATATAGGTGCTTATTAGTACTATTATTATAGACAATAAGCAACTCCACCACAGAATATTGGGAGCTTAATAAAGCCAGGACCGCTTATATCATTGGGAGACTCGCATTGCATCCTTTATACCAATTAAGTTAATTAGTTTCTGTAGAAATCTTGAAAGATTTTACCGGCTGTCAATTTTTTATAATGTAAATATCATAATAAAGACATAATCAGTTCTACTATGCCTTGATCTTGACAGGTTATGCATAAGTTTCTGTTGAAGATATTTCGTTAAGCAATGATCTATTTTTAATAGCTGAGTCCCGTGTCAAACTTTGTTGAATTGCTGTGTGAAGTCTAAAAGCATAGTTGTGCAGTGGTTTTTGTTCTGAAAAGCCGCATGTATTGTTTTGACAAAGCAATTACCATTTTTATGGCCACGCACTGCAGCCTTCTCTGGATTTAGCTAAAGAATAGTTGCTATTTTTCACTGAATGTAGGCTTATTTTGATAGGGTTGTTGTTGTTGTAACCCGCCAGGACCTGCTTATGGAGTCCTTTTGGGAGGTGTTGAACGGTACTTGGTCGTCGTAGATGACGAGTGGCTCCAGAACGTAGACCCGATCGTTCTTGGAACCTGGAATTTTGATAGTGTTATTGACTTGTAGAGAGGAGAAATAACACCTCAGAATTCGTCTGATAAATTTTTTTTCAAAAATTGTTGAGAAGAACTCCTCCTCCGGAGGTTCAGCTTTAGTTTTGAATTTTTGCGCAGCTTTCAAAAGGCTGTCAAAGTTTTCTTTAATACTATTTAACGCAGTTTAGCGCCCACTTTTTCAAGCTAATTTTGTTCAACTTACAAGGGTAAGTGCTTAATTGCTTACATTGGTTCCTTAAAGTTTGGTAGGAAGCAAGTTCTATTTTGTTTGAAAAGACTGCCAATTTCTGCTCAAAATATTAGTTTAGGTCTAAATGCTCATCTTGATTTAGTTTGTAAGAGGGTTACACTGTTGCATTTTCATACTTAAATAGCATCAACAATACTAAATTTAGCTATAAGATTTCTATCTAAGAGGTAACAGGTTCTGTAAGTTTCTTTTTGTAATTATCTGTAATATTTTTAGAGACAGTTTAACGACGCGGACTTATAGATTTTGGTGATTACTTTAACTTGTAACACTTTTAGGAATGGAATGTCAGTGATTGTTTTTAATATTTTTGACTGAGCACTTTGGAGATTTTCAACGTTTAAGGCATTAGCATTATCAAACGGCTGAATACCATAATTCCATATTGGTCTTAATATGCAATTATAATTTAATAAATTCAAGTTTATTCCTTTTATTTATTTTTA